TTGTCAAAATGTACCTTTTTTTCTCATTGTCAAACTCAGTACTGTTTACGTCAGAAATCTTCAAGAAAGTGAAGGGGGGAAATTAGGTGAGAGATTCTTACTAAACATTTGTACTGTTATCTTTCCCTTGTTTACGGCTTGTCAGATTTCCCCTCGTAGAGAGCGCCTTTATAGTGATGACATCTTCTCGGATAGCCCACACCTGAGGAATGTGCATTTGTGCACAGTACAGTGTGTGTATTCTGTTGGCATGAAAAGCAAGCAATTGAAGGTATTGCCACAGGTAACTCACACTATTAATAGGAGGAACTTAGTTTTTAAGGGCTCACTGGAAGATTTCTCTAATCTCATGTTTAATGAATAGCCCATGTCATTTGTGATGAAATTGTGTGATCATACTTCTGGATACATGGATACATGAATATATATATAGTATTTTTCAAGTCTTCTTTCTTAGCCACATGTGTCATTATTTTCAGGATATACCTTCTCAGAAGTTTCATAGGAGGGAAAGCAGTGACAAGGAAGTTCTCATTGTTTGCACAGTAAAATCATCAACTTCTGTTACCAACTTCTAATTCAAATCAGATTTTAATTTGGATGTTCCATTTAATTTGGATGTTCCATTCCTTCTTGAAACAGTTTTGTTTTCCCATACATGATGCGTTACTTTGGTTTTATAATTAAAAATAACTAATAAAAGCAGCATCTGAACCCTTGAGCCTGGAATGAGAAATGGAAAATTTGTTCTGTACTCTGCTGGGAAAGGCTACAGTCTCCATGATAGAACTGAATTGATCAACTGCCTGAGTAAAATAGTTTATTTCTTGTCAGCGTGAGTGTTGGGTGCTCTTTTGTAGTACCTTATACTGGGTGTCTTTTCCTCCTTCCCTTCCTCCATAGTTGCTAAAAACAGATATGTTGGAATTAGTCCAGATGCCACCATAAGAGGATTTGATTTCTTCCAAGTCAGAGGATGACTGTCTTTTCCCTTAGAAAATGAAGTTAACCCTTTTCTGTGTGGAGGCTAGAGAAATAAGCCAGTCTTTATTCCTGTCACTGTTCTGTTTTTTAAAATAGACGTGGGAGGGGGCAGCTTTTAAAACAAATGTACCACCTTCTTAAGCTAGTCATTTTTGCCTTTTACTTTCAGGCATAAATGCCATTATTGGCACTTTTTTCTCTGTGTCGACTTTGCATCTGCCCACATACCAAAGGGAATTTTTCTGAGCTCCTTCTGGCCTGTCAGTTATTTGAGCTGAAGACTACACACTGGAAGCAGGGGGTGGGGTGGGGGGAGATGCTCGGCATAGATCAGCCAGAGGGAGAGAGAGACAGATCAGCACGAGGGACTCAAGCTGGGAGGCTTCACTCTGCTTAAATGGAAAAAGCCGTTCAGAGTTTACCATCTTGGCCTGCACCAAGATAGCAGGAAAGTAAGAGCTGCTGGCCGCCTTTGATATGTGAAATCCCCAAGTCCTCTAGTTTGTATAAATAGCATTTCGTTCACAGGCCAGCCCCTTTCCTCTTGTCCTTTCTTCTTGCTTCTTAATAGGTTCTTTCCCTAGAACATTTGCCTTGGCCTTTCCCCTTTTCCATCCACCAGATACATTCTGTTTCCTGCCAAGCTGACAGGTCTCAAAGTATGTGTCCTCTCTCACGTGAAGACTTAGGTCTTCAAAAATATGTCGGTGAGGTTGCTGTCACTTTTCACAGCTTTTACCAAGTATCTGACCGACTTTGTTGAGCTGTATTGGCTTTGAAGGATTCCTCAGTGCTTAGCAGTAACTCAAATGGTGATCACATAGAGAAATTCATGTGAACTAGTTGATGCACGTTAGGAATTCACAGTGAGCTCGGAAGCTCTTTAGCAATAACTGCATATTGTTTAGGGTAGAATGCTAAAACGGATTTTTTTTTCCCCTGAAGCAGAACTCTAGGAGGAACAAGGTACAGTTTATCCTCAGATGCCACCAGGGTGTACGTGTGAGATTGTATTTTATGAGGCACACTTTAGACTGAAGAAATGAGGATGTCCTGTTAGAAGCAGATTGGCTGTATCATCAGATAGAATGTGGGCACACTGAGTTACTTCTCATCCAGTTCCTAAATCAGAGGACCCAAGACATTTTAGTAATAACTTGTCAGGAGCCGTTAGCCATATTTAATTCCTTTAAATTATGTAGGTGAAGTGGACTGTCAGAACAGTTGACTCCGTAAAGAAAAAATGAAAAAGGCTTAGTAGTCAGGTGTAGACACCAAGAACTGACCATCTATCAGAAATAGAATCCAGCAAAAATGACCTTGCATATTTTCCAGGAGAAAAATGGTAAGACGGAGCTAGGGTTCTAGTAGGTTAGTCGTGCTGGGAAGTAGTAACAATAGTACTTGTCACCAGAAGAAGATGGCGTTTCAGCTTCTGAATTTAGGTGACCCCTGTGATTACATCAGCAGGGTGCCTGGTCATGTAGCAGCTATTAAGCATTACACAGAACTATTTTAAATAAATCTGCTTTCCAGAATGTTGGAGCTTCCTTTTTTGATAGTTTTGCACTGCAAATTAAACATGGAAAGCTGAGAGACTAATCCTTGCAGGATGCTTTTAGGTGATATTAGTGTGGTTAAGAGCATGGACTAGGGAGGCAGACCACCTTGGTATGAATTCTGACACCCAGCCTTTCTATGCCTCAGTGTTCTCATCTCTGAATAGGGTGATAACAGTACTTCATAAGTTTATGGAGATTATGAGTTAATACTTATAAGTAATGCATGGCACATGGTAAGTACTATGTAAGAGTTTGTAAATAAAACTGGTTTAGTAGCTAAATTGAGCATTTAATTCTGAAGATGTCTGTATTCAGAACTTAATAAACATTACTTTCCTCTATACTTTATTTTCATATTTCTCAATACATGGCATTTTTGACATGGGTGTCATTTGTTCAGACAATGGGTTTAAAGAAGGATATTTAAGGAAAGAGCGTAAGCATATGTGCTTTTCATTGTGTACTTTAAAAAAATCTCTCCAAACTGATGGGTTGTCCTGTATGTGGTAGAAGTAACCACCCTTCTACCATCACTTCTCCAATCGAGAGCATAGACTTCAGAGTAGGAAATGAGTTCACATAAATGAAAATGTCATGGAAATGTTTTAATGCTGGTCAACTCCTGACTTGGTGGTAGCAAACTGAGAGCTGTTAGGTTGTAATAAACGATGTGTACACGTACAGGGAGAGAAGATGACATAAATGTAGGCTGCCTCGTGTGTACCCTACATTTAGCAAAAGAGTTGGATTGTAGAAAATTTGTTTGATTTCACTTAGGTGTTTCCCGTTTGCCCCATCATAGAGTCCCCTGAAGGCCCTGGCCCGTGTGGCTCAGATGGTTGGGCGGCGCCCAGTGCACTGAAAGGTTGCAGGTTCCGTTCCCAGTCAGGGCACAGTCCCAGTAGGGGGTGTGCAGGAGGCAGCTGATCGATGTTTGCTCTCACAGCGATGTTTCTCTCTCTCTCTCTCTCTCTGATTTTGAGTAAAAAAGAAAATCTTAAGAAATAACCCCGAAGATTCTGGAGATTCTGGTTCAGTAATTTGGGATTGGAGCCAGGGAACACACACAAAGATTGGAGTCTCTAAAATTAACTATTTTTAAGAACATGTATGTACTTTTAACAAGCATCTCAGATGATGATGATGATTATTATTATTTTAAATATATCTTTATTGATTTCAGAGAGAGGAAAGGAGAGAGAGTCATTGGGGATCGAGCCTGCAACCCAGGCATGTGCCTTGACTAGGAATCGAACCCTGATCACCTAGATCCTAGGTCAACGCTCAACCGCTGAGCCATGCGCTCCTAGGTTCAGATGATTATTAAGAGAAGTCATGATTTACTGAAGTAATTCAGCTGTCTTCTCTGAGCCTTGCCGTTCTCATCAACAGAATCAAAGATCTGACTAGAGGACAGTCTGCATCCTAAGTCACTTCTGTGATTTTGTGATTCCCATTTTCTAATGATTTATGATATCAAAGAAGAATTCCATTATGTGGTAGAATATGGGGTGAGGAACTGAGCCTTCTACTTATCAGAAAAATTAAATCAGCAAACTTTAAAAAATGTTTTAATGAAAAAGCTTTCTAATAAAACAGTAAACTTAATTACTAGTAATTCCATTGCTTTCTAAATATTGACAATGAAAGATAAACACACTAAACTCTGGTAATACATATTGTCTTATTGTGTGTGTGCACACATACTATTTAAAATATTGCTATTTTAGAATTAATGGTCCTTAGATTTAGCAAGTTTACTAAACTTTTTAAAACTTCTCTTTATCATTTTCATTGTAATCCATGATAATTCTCTTACTTTGGCAGTTATCTCACCAAATGAACATAATTGGTAATTTGTCATACAGTTTTGCTTGATAATACCTTTCCCATTTGTCACAGTGTGCTTAGCTAGAGAGGCATGTCTCACTGCCTGTGAGGACACAGTTGTCTAGCAACAAGAATGCCTCACAATCCACAAATGAGTATTGATTGCTCTGTTCTCAACTCAGTGATTTGATTTTATTTTTTAGCTGTTAGGAAATGGGTAATTGGGAGCTATTAGCACACTTACCTGTGTGTTGTTTTATTTCGAGTCTTCCCAAGCCTTTTTCATGGGAAAATAAAAGTATTTCTTAGACTCTACAAAATGATGGCTAGTAATTGACATGAGTCTTTGGGGTTTTTCAGGGGGGCGTGGGGAGCCTTTAGAAACAGAAGCAGGATGGCAACATGGAGTACCAAAGTCATAATTTCACGGTGACTTTCTTTTAGATGAATTTAATTCTTTAAGTTTTGGTTGCTCATTAATTAATGAATTTCGGTTCAGCAGGGAGTACCTTTAGAAGAACACCTTTAGGGTGTATAGCTTATAAAACTGTTTAATGTTTGTGCTGTTTTGAATGCTACACTTTACAGATCTAATTGTGGTCCATGGTGTTTAATATATTTTAGAAACTCGATGGCTTCTACAGGGAGCCAGGCCTCTGATACAGACAACATTTTTGGATTCCTCAGTGACGGCGCACCCCCCACCAAAAAGCCCAGGTAAACAGGGGAAGGGAATCTGAGGAGCATAGTCCATTATCAGTAATGGTAGTTAATGAAAAGTAATGAACTTGCTCTAAATCCCAGTTAATTTCATTAATTAATACTGACCTTTACGTAAAATCAAATTTCTTTTTTGGATCTAACATTTATTTTTTAATCAAGGTCATAAATGTACATAATTTTAGAAGTTAGTACTTCAAGGCTCATAATGCCTGGCTCCTTCCCACTTAGTCACTCAACTTTTTTGTATGTGTCTCTAATATTTGCATCCATATTTTTCAATACTGTATGCACTGCTATATTTGAGTGTTTTGATTTTATCTCTTTCCAATTATGGAAGACGAGGATTAGGTTTGTTCTCACAGATCTTCTCCCACATTGTACACACGCACCCCCCCATGTACCCTCCCCTCAGCCCCCCATTGTACGTATTTTATATCACACTTTTGGGGGTTAAATCACTTTTTAATACTTACATTATATGATATATAAACAGTATTCATAGTTGAGCCTAATGTATTATGATTATATTTGTTTATCTCTCCAAGTTATTAAAGATTTTCTCTCTTTTTCTGTTCACGTTGTTTTCTGTGCACCTATCATTTTATCTTCAAACTCTGACAGGAGAGTCAGTCTCCTAGCCATAGTGACACATCAGTAATGCCCCATTACATTTGCTTCGTGGATCCTTCCTCTGGACTGCCCTCCGCTCTGGACAGTGGCTTTCTTTTTTTTTTTCTTAATATATTTTTATTGATTTCAGAGAGAGGAAAGGAGAGGGGGAGAGAGAGACAGAAACATCAATGATGAGAGAGTCATTGATCGAGCCCGCAACCCGGACATGTGCCCTGACCGGGAATCAAACCCTGATTGCCTGGATCCCAGGTTGACGCTCAACCGCTGAGCCACGCCCGGCCGGGCTGGACAGTGGCTTTCTACGCTGCCCCATTGCTAACTTTGCCGGTTTCCTCTCCTGTCTCTTGGGAATTCCTCTCTCTCCTGTATTGGACCCTGTTTCCTGGGTCGCATGTCTTTTTCTTTGGTGCACGCCTTCATTTTGCTGAACAATGTCCTCGGCTTCCTCAGGATGCAGAGGAGAAAAGTTTTGGGAGACGTTTGAAAATGTCTGTATATACGCTTATATTTACTTGATGATTTGGCCGAGTGCAGAGTGTTAGGTAGGAAATCGTCTTTCTCAGAGTTATGAAGTCATTGCTCATCCTCTGCTGACACTTAAGTGTTCTGCCAAAAAAGCCACTCCGTTCCGGTTCCCAGTCATGTGTATTACATGACCTCTTTTTTTCATTAAAAGCTTGTAAGGATAGGGGTTTTATTCTCAGCAACCTGAAGTTTCACAGTGATTTATCTTCATGTGAATCTAGATATCGGGTGATCTGTCAAGCTGGCTACTAATAATTTCACTTTGGAGAAATGCTCTTGTTACTTATTTGATAATTTTATCTTTTGTGTATTGGTAGAACTCTTGGTATTCTGGTGTTGGACTTTCTATATATTTTGCTGTTGTGTGTATTTTTATAATTCTACTTTCTCAGAGATTTTTTTTTTTGGTTTTATCTTCCAACTTTATGATTTTTATTTCTGTTCTATTTTTAATTTCCAAGAAGTCTTTTTGTCTGCCCATCCCTTTTTATAGCATTCTGTTCCTGTTTTATAGATGCCATTTAAAAAAAAATCTCTATGAAGATGTCATTGTTTTCTTTTCAGTTTTTCTTCTCTTTACTGTCTCTTTTTACTCCAAGTTCCATTCTATCTGCTAGTTTTGCTTTGGTGAAATGCCTATGTTGGGGGCTCTGCCCAAATATAAGGTGACCCGAATTTGTCTGCTTATATTTAAGAGAAAACCCTAAGAAGCCAGCTGGAGGGTCTGTGTGTGCACAAGGGCCGTGGTCACTGATGCGCTCCACTGTGGGTATCAAGTGTGGGCCAGGCTCTACAGCTGAGAAGCTCCCCCTGTCAGCAGCTGGGGGGGGCTTTTCTCCCATGCTGGCCATTTTCCCCGAAAGGGAATCCCCATTTCCTGATTGAATGGGGAACAGGGTACAGGTATCAGGCTCATTGCCAATGTGTGGGAGTCTTCTGGGGGCAGGGAGCAGAGGAGAATATTATTTCATATACAGATCTTTACTTAATCCATCCCCCCTCCCCCCACAAGCTGTGCAGTGTTCTCAAATTCAGAGTCCTCTGCTTCGACCTTTCTGGAAGGCAAGCCTCCAGGCTCAGAATTCTGCTTTCAGTGAATTTGCCTATTTTCGCTCCTCCAGCCCTCCACCTTCAAATGGACCTGACCAGTCCCAGGGCTCTGCAGAGGGACTCACTTTTACCTTCTAAAACTGTGGGTCTCTGCTGCCTGCGGTCTGCTTTCCCTACGCTACTTTTTATGAATGTACGTCTTCTACAAAAAACTACTATTATTTAGTGGTTTTAGGAAGAACCAGGAATGAAAAACAACTGTTAATTTTTTTTTTTTAACCGAAAGTCTTAAATTAGGAAAACTTACACCTCAAATCTGTAATGTATGTGGTAAAAAAAATTCAAATAGTACAGCACAATTAAGTGAAAAGTAAAAATCCTTTTCTCCGGTCCCCAGAGTTAACCATTATTTCCAGTTCTTGTGAATCCTTCTAGAAATTTTCTGAGTTTATATTTGCGTGCCTCACTGTCTTGATTGCCTTGAACTGAAAATCATTTTTGATCATTTGTTTCTAATGTCTGCTATTGTCTTTTCCAGTTGACTAAACTTTCGAGGTTAGGAGCTCCATTTTGTTCATAAATACATCACTAGTGCCTGCTGTAGTGCCTGGGACTTTATGAACTTTTCATATTTGTTGAAGGACTGAATGCATGAGCTGGGCACAGGGAAGGTGATCTAGAGGGTTCCCAGAGCTTAAAGTATTGCACTTCCTTGGGTTGTGCCCAAATGCTGATCCCGTTTCTCTTTATTGTATTACTTGGACAAAAGGTTGAGAAAGACAGTTTCTTGGGGGAAAAACATGCCATCAGCAAAAATTAAAGTGGAAAAATATATTTCAAATCAATTTTATTGTAGTCTCCAGAATGAAAGGGGGTGGGGGACAAGACACAAAAAGCTTGTGCTCCTCTGTCTCACATAGAAACTTCAGGACAGAACTCTGTCCTTATACTGGTAAGAAAGGAATGGCTTTCCCTTTTTGTTATATCCATCCGTTTGTTTATTTGGGTTCTTGGGCTTCTCCTGTGTTTTCAGAATTCTGTTGGCCATGTTTTCTTTTTGGCCTGAGGATATCTAGAACAAACTGAAGACAAACTTGTTCCCATGTTTGACTATGTATCTCCCACTCAGTTTTAGTCATGCTCAGTTTTATCTTAGTAATATTCACAAAATTTGGGCTTAAATTTTTATTGGCCGCCTTTCATCTCCTGTTTTGTTTCTCAACAATAGCAGTTTAGTTTGGAGTTCTGTTCCTTCGGGAACTGAAATGAAACACGTTCTTTGACATGTAATGAAGTGCAGTTTATCTATTTTCTTTGTACTCCTAAAGTTAAAATAAAACTTAGCAGAACTCAGCTGAGCTGTAATATAATCAGAACTTTTCTTACTATTAGTGGGTTTTCTTAGATTGAGAGGGCATCAATTTTAAGGCTGTTTTTCAGGATTCCTGAAGTGGGTTTATGACTTTTCCAGCAAGCACTGGCACACTAGGGCTGCAAACCATGGTTTTGGACAGTCTTTCCATGCACCCCGTATCTGTCAACTGTTCTTTGTTGAACTTTTTTAGGAAACTGCTTCCAAGCTTGAAAAGTAAGAAGCCTCGGGAACTTGTGCTGGTGATTGGAACAGGCATTAGCGCTGCGGTCGCCCCCCAGGTTCCAGCGCTGAAGTCCTGGAAGGGGCTGATTCAGGCCCTGCTGGATGCCGCCAATGACTTTGATCTTCTAGAAGAAGATGAGAGCAAAAAGTTTCAGAAATGCCTCCGAGAAGACAAGAACCTTGTCCATGTCGCTCATGACCTTATTTTGAAACTCTCCCCTGTGAGTACCTGGCTGCTGGAAGTTTCCCACAGCCACCCCTTGCGCGCTGCGCGTAACCAGGATCTTCCTTCCAGCTTGTAGCTTTGCGTAGCATTTGCCTGTCCTGCAGAATGTCTGGTTATGGACCTTAGTCAGGGTGGTCATCTCTGCACCCCATTTCAGTGTGTGTGATGATGGTGAGGAGGGTGATGATGATGATGTTGTTGTTGAGGCCTTTATGAGTACAAAACTGAGACCACTGTTCCATTGCTGCTGTATTTTGAATTTACTTTTTTGCACTCACCACTGTAAAAGCTGTGTTCACTGGTATCCATGCCTTTTAGGGAACTTCAGAAAGATTTGAGATAATTCTTATCTTTTCATGCATGAAGCAACACAAGTTTTTAATGTTCTTTTAAAGGCAATCACTCAAAATATTTATAAGGAATTTTGTCTTGCGTTATCAAACTGAGTTGGATACCAGTTTCCTAATGGCTGTAGAGCCTCCTTGTCTTGTTTTGGCTTAAAAATGTCTTAAAAATCAGGATTTACCTAAGAAATACTTGGAAATGATAAAGTAGCCAAAGCATGTTCTCAGTCTTAAGTCAAGGGCACCTCAGTGTTTATTCCTCCTTCCTCCCCAGCCCCAAGGCCTATAGGAAAGAAGTGTCATTAAGAGTTAGCATGCCCAGCCAGTGTGGTTGAACATCGATCTATGATCCAGGAGATCGCGGTTCGATTCCCGGTCAGGGCACATGGCCCGGTTGCAGGCGTGGTCCCCAGTGAGGAGCGTGCAGGAAGCAGCTGATCAATGACTGTCTCATCATTGATGTTTCTCTCTCTCTCCATGGTTGTGCCTTTGAGGAGTAGGGAAAGAAAATTACTCTGACCTTTCAAAGAGATGTTATCCTATGGGCATAAGAACAATGGACAAAGTAAGGTAGATTGACCTTTGCTAAGGAAAACATAGGCCTGGGATTTGATTACTGCTGTTACCTGCCCAGCTAGGGATTTGTGGTCAGATCATTATGTGTGGTTACTTTTGATCACGGAGTTTATCAAGCCTGCCCTGTGGCCCCCTGAGCTTGTCAAGTTTATTGCACCACCCATTTTCCTTCACGCTAGGCACCAGCAGTTTTATGCCCCATTGCCTTTGTATCACCAGTGCGAATATAAACAGTTTAGACCATATAGCACCTTAATATGACTATGAAAATATGTTTGGCTTTGCAGACGCCTTAAGAATCTCAGGAATCCAGGGGGGGTCTGTGGGCTTTGTTGTGAGAAACATTCCAACAGAGGATATGTAAGAAAAAATAAAACTGGGACAGTGCTACTTAGCTCATGGGGATTTTCGAAGAAGTGAGCTCATGAATATAAAGTGTCTGGCACATAGTGTGCACTGTCAGTTTTAGGAACCTCTGGAAAGACTCAGGGTTGCATTTGTGTTTGCTCTGCATGGGATCAGAAAGATGAGAGGTACATGGTAGGAGGAAATGAAGTAGCCCTGGACTCAGCTCACAGTTTGAAATGAATGAGAAAGTGTCGGGGCAGCTGTGTGGGAGTTCGGCATTTCCGTTCGACCAGGGAACTTCCTTTTGTTTGCATTCCTTTGTCCTGATTCAGAGGCCACGGATCAGAAATTTAGCTCTGGAGTCACCTGCTGCAAGAGAGAGAAACATTCATTTTTAAGTCTGAGGACATCAGTGCAGCGACCAGACCCTCTTTCCTTCTTCTCTGTTGATAACGCAAAATGTAACTGAAGTATGACTAGGAGGTAGCAAGCTGAAACAAGTGACTCAGGACATTTATTTCCAGGCTTTAGCTTTTTGTATTTCTTTTCGTAGAAGCGAGAAAATACATTCCACACCCATGATTAGCTGATTGTATACCCAGGCATTTCTAGCCATGTGGGTAATGATTAAACTGGTGTTTGAATATAGTGTTATATAAGTGTATGTGCGTGAATCAGTAAAAAATGAATTTAAAAAACACAAGGAGTTCTTAATACAACCATATAAATGAACCATACTTCATTTTAAACTGAATTTTGCTTTTTTGAATAATTACTGTTTATACACACTGCAGAGGTGAAAGCGATGTAAAAAGGTTTATGTATATCCCAGCACCTCACCCCCACTCCTGTTCTTCGTCTGCCTCCTGTGTCCCCAAACTCCCCCCCCCATGGGTCACCACGCTTACTAGCTTGTTGAGCATCCTCCCAGTGTTCCTTTTTGCAAACAGAAACAAATAGGACTATATTTCTTCTTATCTCACTACCTTCATCCCCCGTGTCAGCAGGTAGCATTCTAGACGCACTGGTCTGCACCTCCTTTGTTTTACTTACCAGTGTATCTGGGAGGCCTTTCCATGCCAGTCTCCTGTATATGTGTACCGGCCTTGTTTCCAGTCTTCTATTGTTACAGATACAGAGCAGTGATAACTTTGTATATGTCATTTCACTTTTTCACAATTATATCGAGTATATTCCTAGAAATGGAATTTTAAGATCGTAGGATAAATGAATTATAATTTTGATCAACATTAAAGGGACACTGTGTTTTTCATAATTAATCTAGAAATGTGCCTGGCATTTGTTAGTAGTTGACCCTTGTATGTGGTGAAATTCAATAACTGAGGTTATAAATTCTTCACTTTGTTTCTGAGCAGATTGTTCATTTTTGAGTGTTACAGTCCCCGTGGGCTGCCTGTGGGCTGCTACGATATGTGATGGAATTATTTATGCCCTTATGTAATGAGAATGGACAGTTAAAATACATTCTTAGCCACATAAATTATGGGCCATACCATCTATTTAGCACTAGAAAAGGATCTTTGAGACCCCTGACAAAAGGAGCCTGCCTAGGAGTAGATGTAGCTTGGACCAGGGACTGACAAAAGCAGATAAACCTTGAGCGTGTCACCACTGTTTCACCTCTGCTCTAATTTTTCTACTGTGACAGATGTTTGCCATTTATTTGGTAGGCATAAATAATTGATAATTTTAAAAAATACTTAGAAAAATTAGGGCAAGAATTTGGCAAATAGAAGCGTGTTTCATGAGTCTGCTTCCATGGTTCCATGGAAACAGATCTTTATCTGAGTGTTGTGCTATTAGAAGGATGTACAAAGGAAACCAGAAAGGCAGGGAAGCCACGTTGAGGAAAAGCAGCAGGAGCTGTTATCTACTACCTGCTAGCTAAGTGCAGTTACTTGGAGATTGAATGGGAAATAGGGGCACCTTTAAGAACCAGTCCTTGCTCTGACATTATCTAATTGAGTGGTGTTGTGGGAATGGGATAGGGGGCAGGTATATGTGACAGCATGTTGCAAAGTTACTTTCCCTTTCAAATTCCTTTTGTCCCAGAGGCCACTTTATCTTTTAAACTATAAGCCAACTTTCCACTTGAGGCTGGTATTGTATTCCTCATTAGTCCTCAGATATTTGCACATATTCAAAATAAATCTGGGAACGCAGTTATTTAAATAAACCATATGTTAAGAAATAGGGAGTCTATTTAGAACTGACTGATGTTTAGTATTTTTAACAGTTGCAAAATGAAGATTTTTCAGGAGCCTTTATTAAATACTAAATATTCTTCCTAGTAAACCTGTAAACAGATTGCTGAATTATGCAAGGGAAAAAACAGCAAGCGGTTTTTCCATAGCATCAGCATTCAAATCCATGTGGCTCTTAAAAAGCACGTAGGATTAGAAAAAGAGATGCTAACCCACATTTAGAGGTCTTTTATTAGTTATTCCCTAGTTAAAGAAAGTGTACAAAAGCACATTCTGTCGTCTTACCTGAGGCCAAGTTAGAGGGTGGTTGGTGCTCTGCTTTCTCCCAGCATTCCTTTAGTCCTGGCAGTGACACACATCTCTCGGCCATGCCCATTTTCTTCGTTCTGTCAAAGTGCTTTTTACAGAGCTGTGCTTGTTTGCATGTGGTGTAATAGTGCTGATCCCTTGCTCTGTGCCAGGCATTGTGCTAAGCACTTGGCAGGCATCCTCCTGTTTTCCTTAGAACCCTGTGACGTAGACAATATGTTACCTTTATTTTAGGTGCAAAGTATGTTTCAAAAAATTGCTCTTACTGTTATTAAGGCAAATGACCTACCAAAACACCTAGCATTAATTTTTCTCTTTCAAATCCCTCTCTAGCGGACTAGTAATGTTCGATCCACGTTTTTTAAGGACTGTTTATATGAAGTATTCGATGACTTGGAGTCAAAGATCGAAGACTCTGGAAAACAGCTGCTTCAGTCAGTTCTCCACCTGATGGAAAACGGAGCCCTGGTATTGACTACAAATTTTGACAATCTCCTGGAACTGTACGCAGCAGACCAGGGAAAACAACTCGAATCCCTTGACCTTACTGATGAAAAAAAGGTAAAAAGGGAAGCATGAGTCTGGGCTTCGGGCGGTGGAACAAACCTCTTTTCTGTTGGGACGTTGTGTGGTACTGGTATGCTGCTCCCTGCGGGATTTTTTTTTTTTTTGAGATAAAATCAATATACAGTAAAAGGCACAGATCTTAAAAGTACTCAGTTCTCTGAGTTTTGACAATTTCACCCAACTTCAAAGCAAGAGTGTAGGAAGTCATTTGAACTATAAGATCTCTTTACTACCTGATAACATCAGGTGGGTATAATGTTGATTTAGAATTCTCTCTTAGAATATATTCTGTGTGCCAACTCACCTGGAATTGAATGAAAACTACTGTAGGACACCTGGATGACCACCTGCCAGGCCCAGTGAATGTTGGGTTGAGGTTAATGTTCAGTGGAGACCTCAGCAGACTCTTTTGTATTGGAGTCCATACTATACCTAAGCTATCTATGTAGTATGGAATTATAGGTGTTGATATGTCAGCTAATGAGATGAGGCTATTAGAATGGCCATCTGAGTTTGTAATTTGATATTTAACACCAATAGGAGATTCTGTAGCTACACCAACATGTATTTAATTGGTGAAATACAATGATATAAAAGTGAAAATGTTTTTATTGCCATAAAAAGATGTCAGAGACATAATGAGGTCTCATTTGCCTGCTGTGTAGTTTTTGTAATTTTCCTTCTACACTTTGTTTTCCCAGGAGCCTTCCTCTGTCCAGCCTAGCACCCAGCTAAATAGAGTGAACAGATAAGAGGTTCACCCACTGGCTTTCATTGGCACAGTGCTGCCTCTGCTGGCATAGCAGCTGTGATGCCACTCTTGTAATTTTGCTGACACTGAAGCCAGCTTTTAAAAGGAAACCAGTCAGGGACATGGTGCCATGAAGACTGATTTTCTCTGGCTGCAAAGTGTTCCACCTGCTACTCTTAGGCTGTGCGGCCAGCTCCTCCTTTCCCTATTAAATCTCAAATAGCACTGTCTCTGAGAGGTCTTCTCTGACCGTCCTACTTAAGAAGGGACACACCCTAGCTCTGGCTGGGTAGCTCATTTGGTTAGAGTGTTGTCCTGATACTCCAAGGCTGTGGGTTTGATCCCCAGTCAGGGCACGTACAAGAATCAACCAATGAATGCATAAATAAGTGGAACAACAAATCGATGTTTCTCTCTTTGTCTCCTCCTCTCATTTTCTCTCTCACCCTTCCTTTCTCTCAAATCAATAAATAAAAATAAATTATTAAATGGAATTGAGAAATTACTGGCTAGATATAGCATTTTATACTGTTTCTGATAAAACCTCCAAAGACCTGACCAGCATCAGAAGCGTCAGGCCTCTTCAAAGTTCAGGATATCTATCAGACATGATATTTTTTCTTCTCATTTTCATCCTGGAGTCTCAAGATTTACTTTGTGTTTTTAGTCCACATTATTATAGTCTAATTGTTTAATTCATTTACTGGTAGTCAGGATGGGGCCTAGAAATAATCAAATTTTAAATCTCTGTGCCTCTTGGCTATTTTTCTTAATTCATACTGTATTACTCTGGGATGTTACAAGAATAAATGTACTGTCTTGATCCCTTGGGAACATGGAACTGTGGAAGTCAGGCTGCTGTTGTTACCATTGTCATCTAAATGATTGATCTTCATTGGTGGCCTTTTAGGTGACTCAGAGGTGGCTGAAGTGCTGCTTTTACTGCTTATCAATTGCTGCAGAAACCACCCTGAAACTGTGGCTTAAAGCCACATTTTATTTGCCCGTGATGATGGGAATTAATGATTTCAGCTGGGCTCAGCAGGCACTTCTTTTGCTGGTTTTGTGGTTACCCATGTGGCTGCAATTATCTAGTGGCCAGGCTACGGCTGGGTGGTACAAGGTGGCCTCACTTCTGTATCCGTGGTGCAGGCAGTTGGTTGGACCCTGCATCTCCAGCAGGCTAGCCCAGGCTTCTCCACACAGTAGCTGGGTTCCAAAAGCAGCCAAAGAGAAATAAGACTCATTATCCCAGCATTTCTCAAGCTTCCGCTCGCGTTGCGTTAGTTAAGGCCCCGGCTAAAGCAAGCCATGTGGCCAAGTAAGTGTGGACAAGGGCTACACAGAGGCAGGGGTGCAAGGAGGCTTGATTTCTTGGGGACCATTTCTGAAATGCATCCATATCTCTCATGGATGTCACAAGTGAAAAGAGCCCTCATCATTTCTGCAAATGATGGCAAATACATTCTAATTTTTTATTGTTACTTTCAAAGAGAAATTGCAGACTTGCTGCCTCTGTCCTAACAGTCATGCCTGAAATGGAAACAGGCCACATCGTGGTTTGCATTCTTACTCTATAGTATATCATGAACCCTGGGAGTTATGTCAGAAGCCCAGTCATCTTGCCCATCGGGACCTTGAAGCAACTGCCAGCCTGGTTGAGCCCTCTCTGTGTTGTGCAGGTCCTTGAGTGGGCTCAGGAGAAGCGGAAGCTGAGTGTGCTACACATCCACGGGGTCTACACCAACCCCAGTGGCATTGTCCTTCACCCAGCTGGCTATCAGAACGTGCTCAGGAACACTGAAGTCATGGTGAGTGCTGCTCGTCTTGCTGGTCCTGGGAACCTCTACACATACCATTGGTCTTCAAGGGAAAACATATTCCTTCCATTAATTGAAAGTTGGGAGGTCACACATTCTGTTCCATGCTGCTCAGCTTGTGGGTGGGCATGCCGTCCTAGGGAATGTACTCCTCAGGTACTGTGCTGCAGGGTTTCCCTTTGTTCTTGACTGATGGCCACCTGGTGGCACTCTGTCATTGTCACTTTGTGTATTCTTCACATACAAAGAATACATTATTACCCCCTTTCATTGTTTGGTTTATTATGGTATTAACAGCCCTCTCTATGCCAGTAAAAACTGCTGTAGCTTTTTATTGACCATTCACCACTAGAACATACACTCTAAAGTGATGTGTGTAAATGACGATGGGCTGGTATTGAATTACCACACTTATCCAAACTTATTGCTCGGGGAAAAATTGGAAAATACTTGGATAGGGTGATAAAGTGGAGGTTTTCCTCTTTGTGAAAAAAGATCTTTGTTGATCTTTAGAGATGCAAGTTTAGACTTGCTCACATACATGTTCATACCAAAACACTCCCACGCCAGTGATATGTGGGAGTAATTCACTGGCTCCCAACTCTGGAAAGTGTTCATAGCTATTTTTAGGACAGGGTCACTTAGAATGATGGAATCTACATGATGTGGCACAGGAAGGACCAAGAAAATGTGAGGTTTTCTAAAGCATAAGAGCCTTTATTCCCCCATATATTCTTTCTCTGCCATCTGTTGGAACTGCCATTCATCATTCACACTGAGTGATCCCTTAAGCAAAATCATTTCTGATGTTTCTGTATTTATATATATGTATGTACAGATACACACACACACACAGATACATATTGATGTTCTAAGTATCCGACTTCCTTTGAGGAAATCTGGTGATGAAATTATCCTCATTTGGTGGTGCGTGATTCCGTTTGTAAGGCAAAAAAGGGCAAATATGGTCCAGAAAATGGGAAGAGTAAAGTATATTGAAGACCTACTCATTGCTTTATGGCCTCTGGGTACATAGATCTAAAAAATAAATCGCAAAGTCAGTAGACCAATGCTAACCAAAAGAAACCCTGAATAGAGAGCCTACAGGACAACGCCAGGTACAGATCAATTTTAGACCAATCATCAAGTTATAGTAAGATCAGCTTTGGGGACTTATCTACCCTCTTAAATCTTGGTTCAGTGGTGACCACAGTCTTGGCTCAGGGGTGAAAGTAGTGGTTATGATGACCCTGTCAGCTTTTGTATTTCAGACATGCCTTGTGTGTGTCTTCACGGTGTCACTTTGTTTCTTTTCCTGCAAGAGAGAGATTCAGAAACTCTATGAAAACAAGTCATTTCTTTTCCTGGGTTGTGGCCAGACAGTAGATGACACCACTTTCCAAGCCCTTTTTCTGGAGGCCGTCAAGCATAAATCTGACTTAGAACATTTCATGCTGGTTCGGAAAGGAGATGTAGATGAGTTCATGAAGCTTCGAGAAAACATGCTGGACAAAGGGATCAAGGTCATCTCCTATGGAAATGAATATTCTGATCTTCCAGAGTACTTCAAGCGACTGACCTGTGAGATCTCCACAAAGGGCAGGGCAGGTAAGATGCATTTTGGGACGGGGGAGGATCTGAGAGCAGCAGCTCTTCAGCCTCGTGTGTATTGGTTATGGGTAAAATCATTAGCATGATGAGGAATATTTTCTTAACCAAATTGTGAGGGAGGGCATGTTAGGTGTTCAGGTTAGACGAAAATGGCATTTGGACAGGAGGAAAATGCACAAAGGCAATCCAGTGTAGAAGTAGGAAGAAGGAAAAACTTCAGCCTCATTAGTTATCAATGAAATGCAATTAAATTTAGATTTCAAAACAGAGTGATAACTCAATTTTGGCTAAGCTGCGAGGAAAGAAATATATTCATATTGGAATATGTTCAAAATTTAAAAACCTTTGACCCAGAAATTCCACTCAATACAATTTCTTAGGAGAAATTTCTCCTAAAGAGATCATTGGACAGTTGCACAGGGGTAAAGGTGCAACTATGTTGTATATAATGAAAGAAATTGGAAGTCACTTAAAATGTTTCATTTAATAGGGAATTTTGTAAATTCTTCAACACTTACTTAATTGATAAAATGCAATGAAGCTATAAAAGGGAAAATGTTTTTATTGTTCAAAAAGATGTCAGAGACATAATATTGTGAGTGAAGGGGCACTGAAAAGCAGGTTGGAAAACACCATGGTCAGTCCCATTCATATGAAATTGTAGATACTCTGTTTTTTTTGTGTGTGTGTATAGAGAAATAGCTGCAATGCTGGTTACTAAATTAACTGTGGTTATGTTTATGCTATTGAACTTAAGGGTTGTTAAAAAATATTTTGTTTCTATGTGAGCGTTTTCTACAATGATTATGCATTATCTTTATAAAAACAGAAAAAAACACTTTAAAGTGCTCTTTTGAAACTGTCGTCGGTGGCATTAAAGTCAGAGGTTGGGGTACCACTCACTCACTTGACATTTTACCCTCCAGCTCTAATGAGAAAGCCAAATGGGGATAAAAGGTTCAATCTATTAATGGCTCCAGGCAAGTTCCCAAGAACCCTACAAAATACAAAACTTTACGGTATCAACTAAATTGAAGTATGCTTTTTAAAACCTTACTTTGAATAGAGCCAGGCCGCAGGATTTGGCCATTCTGACTCACCACCTAGGTCCAAACAGACTTGACTGTTGTAGGTAGAATATGTTCTTGAAAAGTTTTATGTTAATTTGGATTTTCATTATCAATCTGAATGCATCTTAAGGGGCCTATTAAAGTACAGGTCATTTAATGTAGAGAGAACTGCTCCTAAATCTAATCATCATTCCCAGCTTTTCTTCCTGAATCAGCTTGCTTTGAGTGGAATTCTTCGTAATGAGAAATCCCACAAGCTCTTATCACCGTAACTGAATGCTAAAAACCATGTCTGTCCTTTCTCCAGAAGACCTTTCGGTTTCTCTCTTGTGAAAAGTTTGCTGTTCTTTCTTGGCGGCGTGCTTTCTGTTGCCCTGCAGTGTTTGATTCTTTTGCTGTTCACCCACACTTAGGACTTTCGATAGCTTTTCCTACTGGACAAATTCTGTTTTCATTAATCAAGAGGTACACACTCAAACTACATATTTCTTTTGGTCTACATTCTGAGATCTTCTACCCAGGAAAGATGCTAAAATTGAAAATAACGAAATCCCCCTGGATAGCTGTTCCTATTACACTAATTTTTTTTCTCTTCTTAACAAAAATCATCAGAAGTGGCACAAAGGCTTTTATTAGCTGTGAAGGCGTCCTACTGTTAGCATAGGTTGTAGCTAGTTATTAATAAAGAGGAAGCGGAGGGGACCAGACATTGTTAAGCATGGTCATCTGGGGAGCATGAGCCTGTTTGCTTCACCAGAAAGCTACAGCTTCACACATACTCCAGGGGATCACAGCACTGCCCTGCCAAGGATTAACACCCCTCTCTTCCCTCCTCTGGCACTGGATTGTAATGGGGAGCAGGAGGAGGTAAGCACATGTGCAATAGAAGTCACAGTGGTGCTGGGGGAGGTACTTGACCATAGCCTGGGAAAAGGGATCATTGGCTAGGGGGTGGACCCATCAGAAGCCCAGAAAAGCTTGGGAAGTTGATTCATTATTTTGAAAAAGCACCTGCTCCTTCCCAAACCTGAGATAAAAAACAAACACCTGGTCCTTCCCAAGCCCAAGATGATATAATCCCAGGGGAACAAAGAGTTCTTTCTCATGCCCAATAACCTGTGCTCATGCTGTTTGAGTGTTCTCTCTCGATAGTAACCATGTGGCCTCAGCAGCCACGTGGCCAGCATGGACTCCAAAGGCAGGCTCCATGTGGGAGCCTGGATACCGCAGCACAGCAGTGGATCGCAGCCCAGAATACAAGCAGAGCTAGCCGGATAGGCAGAAAGGCTGGACTGGACTAGCTTTGACATGGCACAGAATCTCTGAACACTGGCCCTGTTTCTGGCCCTGATTTGCTATGGCAGGACTGACAGAGATGGGACATTGGGAACCCAGGTGTTTTCTATTTTCACCCAAATACATCTTATCACCAGACCTCATCCACCCTCGTGGGTCCCTGAAAATGCTTTTTCTCACGACACTGCAAGAACCCCACTTTCACTGGCAACACTACTGGAGTGGCTTCCCCCAAAGTTAGGTATTTGGAATTTTTCAAAATCAAGGATTTTTAATATATGGCCAGGGGGCTTTATTAGAATGGTTGTCTGAGTTTATGATTTGAAATCTAGCAGAGCAGTTTGGAGTTAAAAGCATCATTTCATTTTGAGATAAGTCAAGCGTGTCTGCCATCCTTGGTTGTTTTGAGTTTCCATAGATGCATATTGATAAGAGGTCTTCTGCTGTTGTTTGTTAAACACTGAGCATTTGCTGTGTACCTGGCATTGTGCTGTGCACTCACTTTTGCATAGTGAAAGTTACATGGGTTCAAAAGAGTGTAATGTCTCATACATTTATTTCAGAAAAATCAAGTAATGAGGAAAAGAAAAAATTCTTTTATAATTCATTACCATCATACGAGCAGCTATTTTGGTATATTTCCAATTAACAATTTTTTATGCATTTTTCATAGTTGAAAACAAAGTATACATACTGTCTTGGTACTTTTTTCATTCGGTGGTACATCATACAAATTCCCTCAAGGCTACAGGTTTTGTTACTGGTTCAAGGTTTGTGTGTCCAGGACCTCAAAGGCCAGTAATAAAAAACTGATAAGGAAAGGTTTATTGATTGAGAAGGTGCCAGCTTGAGAAGATGTTGTGTGTGTGTGTGGGGGGGGGGCAGTTTATAACTTCCACAAATCTATTTTAAGAGAGCCCAGAATCCAAGTGTCTTTTATGTCAGTGGGAGGAGAGGGGCAAGGCAAGTGGTGGGTGAGGAGCCTGTGGACAGCTAGGCTTAGACTGGGATCAAGGGAACAGCATGAAATCGCTGTGTCTCTGTTCCTAGTTGGTCCATTGAACACCTCCCTCCTCACTCCCCCACCCCTGCCATCTGAGTCCAGTCTTGAGGCTTCTGTAAATCTTTGATAAACAATCATTATTTTGTACATATTTCCCAACCTCTACGGGAAAGGTGCCTTAAAGGGGCTGTTCTTGCAAAAGCTCAAACCTCACACAGAATTCCTCTAGATAATTAGCATATCTATAGCAGGAGCTGTAAGCCTGAAAGCCATGGGATAGTGCAGGCTAGACTAGTCAGGGAAAATGAACATTTCACTGTTAGTTTCATAACCACTTTTCAGTTTTATTTTAAATCTCTTAAACTGATTTTAGAGGGAGAGAGAAATGCTGATTTGTTGTTCTACCCACTTATTTATGCATTCATTGTCATAACCGCTGTTTTTAATGACTGTTATAATCCAGCATGGCCGTTAGTATACCTAATTTATAATTTTTTCCTATTTTTTTAATTGTAAGAACTGTTGCAATGAATGTTGTTTTCATCCATACAATTTTTCCTTTTGCCAGTAATTTCCTTAAGATGAGTTCTCAGTGTAGCTACTAGGTCAGAAGGCATGAACATTTTAGAGGTCAATAAATATTGCTCAGGTGCTTTCCAAGAGGGAAGGAGCAGTTTGTAGGTTTGAGTGCTTTTATCTGTACGCTAATTGGCCAGTCTTTTCTTCCATGTGTGGCACTTTTTCCTACACCATTATCTACCCCAGTGCTCGCCAATAGAATTTTCTGCAGTGATAGAACTATAATTTTTGCCATCCAGTACCATAACCACAAGTCACATGTGGCCGTGAGTAGTTGAAGTGTAATTAGTGTGACAGAGGAACAGAATTATTAAATGTGAAACTCAGCCACGTGTGGCATGTTATACTGTGGGAGTATCTGTGACGTTGCTCTCTTCTGCTTGGTTGAATTTGCTCCTGCACGGTCCGCCCCTTCCCTGGTCAGACTTAATTTTTCCCCTTGAACTTGGCCTTCTAGACTAGTTAGGGACAGCAGACACACTTTGCCCATGTAAACATTTTGTTTACAAGCAGTGTCAGTGCATTTGGGCACCTTACTATTTCTGTTATTTAATACAATCGTTTGAAGACTAGTTTATTCTCCCCACCACATCTTTGTGTCTGTAATACGTTCAGTACTTAATAATGCCATCCCTTAGTTAGAAAATGTGCATTCATCTCCCTTTGGTTGTTTTTTTCTATTAATTGTTCTGGCTTTTTAGTCCAACAGCTGATACTGATGTTCATTCTGTTGGCAGGGATGGTGAGAGAAGGTCAGCTAAACGGCTCATCTGCAGCACACAGTGAAATAAGAGGTATACTATTTCCTGTTCTACTGTTTTCCACTTTGTCAACAGAAAATGTGTCCCTAGGACCTAGTTGAGACCTGGGAGAGTAATGACTTAACTGCTACCTGGGAAGGGTTCTGTACTTTTCTATCAAGTCCGTTACAAGATTCCTGGTATTTATGTCTTGTTTTCTAAAGTTGGTTAAGGTTGACTTGAGTATCTGCAGCTTTCGATGTGTAAAATTTTTTTGTGAAACTTTTATTTTCTGCCTTTTCTCTCCACAGACCTTAGTACATGAGGGCTACAGAAGGCACCATTAGACCAAGCGGTAAGGCCCTACCGTGGACAGTGTTTAACAGTAAACTTATGAGAAACAAACACAGCTCTGAGGAAGAACCAAAACCCAGAAGTTGAAGGCTGGGGCTACGTGGAGTAGGGAGAACGTCCCAACTTAATCCTTTGTGGCGGCCAGTTCTTGATCTTTTTTGGTTTTATTTTTTTCCCGGTTCTTGGTCTTATGTGGCCTATTCCAGTTGAGAATACCCAGGTGACAATGGGACCCAGATGCAGCTCCCACCCACCCCTAGGCTGGACACGCTGCTTGCGTCCATGCACACTGGGTGGTGTCCAGTGCACAGGCTGCTGCTATGCATGGACTCGGGCTATAGATGCGTGGACTCGCCGTGGCCCTTGCTGCAGTTTTGTACTCTAGACTTGGTTTTTCACTTAAGCGTATGGCTTTTTCTAAAACAAGACTTGAAGCTCTAGTTTTCTAGATCTTACAGTGTATTTTACATACCTGAACTGTATTAAAAGCTTGTTCATTGACTTCCCAGGGCCCTGGTTCTACTTTGTCACTTTAGAAAACTAACCTGCAAAGGTACTGACTGACAAGCCCAATTTTTGTAACTCAATTTAAATTTTGTTAATATTTTTAAAAATATGTCTATTGATTTCAGAAAGAGGAAGGGCGAGGGGGGGGAGATAGAAACATCAATAATGAGAGTCATCGATCAGCTGCCTCCTGCAAGCCCCCCGCTGGGGATCGAGCCTCAGACCTGGGTATGTGCCCTGACCGGGAATAGAACCATGATCTCCTGGATCCTAGGTTGATGCTCAATCACTGAGCCACACCTGGCTGGGCTCAATTTAAATTTTAAAAGACCTGCTCCTTTCCCCAGGGGAGGGGTGATCTCATTCTCTGGAGAGCCATTTTACTGGATTCCTCAGATCATCATCAATTCCTGCTGCTCCCCTTCTTACCACAAACCCCAGTGAGTGTGTTGTGGAACCATAGTTTTGAATCCTATATAAAGTAACTCCAAGACTAAAAGGCCATTTACTTATGAAATTTATTTTCTCATATATAAATTATGCATTTCTCTGGGCAGACAGCCTTCACCTTATTGCACTAAGCACATCCTTAATACCAAGCTACAGGACAAGTCTCAACAAGGTTTGTATTCAATGTAGCACTTGTCTACCAGGCACTGTAGAGAGGAGGCGGAGAAGCCAGGGTCCCTCGGGGTGAATAACAGGGAGGGGCAACGTGATACCTTCTGACAGATGGTTTTCTCCCAGAAAGGGGACATGCAAAGCTTACACCTGGATTCCGGGCGTGGGCAAGAGCTCGGAGGCCAAGAAGCCCAATGCAACACTGTAGCTCGCTGCCCTTCTTTCTGAGAGAAGAGGGGACTCTCCTTTCGCTCATTTGTAACAAATCCCTCTGGCCTAGCTGATGCTTTAGGGAAACAATGGGGATGGGGTCATCATCAGAATTAGCAGCAATTAAGAACGGGCCATACATTGCCACAGTGTGGTTGGTGGGTGTCACCCAGGCCCAGGGACCTGAAAGCTATGTAGCCTGGGGAAAGGTGCCACTCAAGACCCAGAGGTGCTCTGGAAGTTTCTTAATCTAATGGAGCTGGGGCTTCAAACTGCTTATGATGCTCAGATGTCCCAATGACCACACTAATTAGCAAAGTTCTAGTGTTGGATCTTCCGACCATTAGTCAAAGCTGTAATGAGACCGAGTCTATAGGCAGAGTGACCGGGAGCCTGAGTAGGAAGGGCAGGACCTCAGTGGTGGGGGGTGGGTGGGTATAGGCAATGGGCAGTGACTGTAACATGATTAGGCCCTCCTTGCAGATGGAGGTGGACTGAACAGAGCGGGGCTAGGAGGAGCTGCACGCCCAGGAGCTGCCCTCACTCTGCCTTTCCTACACTGAAGACAAGTTGCTCACACTCTAAAGCACATTCTTGATACAGGAACAGGGACTGGGGGGGAAGCGGTGATTTGGTTTTGGGCAAGAGCATGTTAAGCCTTCATGAGGGCAGCCACCACAGCCTTAGCATTGAGACTGCGTAGGTCACAGTAGGTCTGGCCAGTGCCCACAAACACGATGGGTTTGCTTGTGATGTAGGTCATCGAAATAGCAGCTCCCACCTGAAGTAGAAAAGGGACCCAGTCAGCTCAAGGACCCTCTGCACCCTTAGTAACAGGAAACTTTGCAGCTAATGCAGCCTCAGCACTCCTGTGAAGGATGGCCACCGCTCCCACTCACACTGCAACCTGTGTCATTCATACTTACCTTGTCATCAATGGTATCAAATTTGGTAAGGACAATGCCATCAATGAGCCGAGGTGTTTGAGCCATAGAATGGTCAGCCAAGGCTCTGTTGAACTTGACCTGGAAAGGAGAAATGGTGTATAAGTGTAAAAAGCACCTTTCCAACCAAAACTGAGGTTGGAAAGAGAACCATGCCCTCACCAGCTGATCCACGGCCTCGTTGCCTACTAAGGCCTCCCCCACAAACAGCACCAAGTCGGGTGTGTTGACAGTAATGAGCTTGGCCAGGGCAGTCATCAGAGGGGCATTGTCTTGCATGCGACCAGCTGTGTCCACCAGCACCACATCAAAGCCTTGATTACGTGCTGGAGAGAGAAAAGTGGTCAACTCAAAATTCCCAGATTGTCCCTCACACTTATTTCCAGCTTCATCTCAAGTCCTAGCCTGGCTGTTAAAAGTCGGTTTACTTTCTTGGAAACAGAGGTTTCTTCAGTTGGTATATATTAACTTTGGTTGGAACTACACTACACCTAGTACCCAAAGCGGAGCATGGCAAGTCACTAATTCTGACTTGCTACCAAGCAGTAAGTTGGTGGTAGGGTAACCCTGATCCTCAGCATATTTTAAAAAAACCCAAGGACAGGGGCCCAGACAAGCTCCCACACTTCCTGTGCACTGTACCAAAGGCAATGGCTTCCATGGCGATGCCAGCTGCATCTTTGCCATAGCCCTTTTCAAACAACTGCACCATGGTGCGGCCACCGTGACTCTCAGGGGGGTGTAGGGCGCTCAAACGTCGTGTGTGTGTGCGCAGCTGCTCCACAGCCCCGGCACGAAATGTGTCACAGGCGGCAATGAGGACACTGAAGCCATTCTCTAACAGCCAAAAGGAAATCTGCAAAAGACACAAAGGAAACTGTCACCTCAAACCAGAGTTGCTAAGATATAGTGAAGAAATGTCAGAGGAGTACTGCACTGACCTTGGCAAGATTAGTAGACTTCCCCACTCCATTAACCCCACAGAAAGTGACAACATAAGGGCGCTGATGACGCTGGGCATCCATGATATCCCGAAGCATGTCTACACGACGCTGCGGCTGCAGAATCTGTACCAGGGACTCTTGCAGAGCTTGCTTTACTGTGGAAGTCACGGCTGAAAGGGGGAGGAGGTGGTGTACCAATGAATCCCAAGGAATGTACTCCAAGAACACCAACACCTTTCTGAGCTAAGGGAACTAGGATTTGGATACTAGGATCTTGCCCTGGGGATTCACACCGTATCTGATACTGTCCTAATAAACACTGCACAAACATTAACTCATTTAATCCTCTTAGTAACTCTTAAAGTCTAAGTTACGTCATAGAGCTTTAGAGCTAAGGGATTTGCCAAAAGTCACGAAGGCCAATGATACTTACTGCTGAAGGTCCCCATCACCTTCCCTTCCAACTTGTTGGCCACGGATTCACAGAGCTGAACTGCAATGTCTGCTGCCACATTCTTAGCTGAAGAGAGAGGGGGACAGGAGTGATGTGAGTGCATGTCGACATTCAACAACTCTTATGGTACAGCTAAGAAACTAGCTTGCTTTACTCTCCACCATCCCCACCCCATAAACACGACTGCACCTGTTCCTTAGAACTTACCAATGAGATGATCACGCATCTTGTCCAGCACAGATTCCATGTCTTCCCGACTCAAGCTCTTGGAACCCACAAGGCCCTTCAGCATCCCAAACATGCCACCCAGAGTCCCCTTGGCAGCACTGCAGGCACAAGAGATTACGGATACACACAGCCAGTGGGCAGGAGTCGAGCCTCATCCGTTCTGGCGCCACACATATCACCCACCACCTGAAATGCCCTACCTAGGTTTGGTAGGGTTCTGAGCGGCTCCTTCATCATCTGAGCTGCTGCAGTCCAGATCCTGAAGTTGCCCCCCAGGCCCAGTCCCTCGAATCTGCAGGGTACGGGGAAAGGAAAGCGATAGGATTAGAAATACTAAAGCTTCAGAGGGGGAAAAAGCCCAGGATTTACCGTCTACACCGCTCAGTTTCTTTGATTTGGGAAGCTCCAAATGTAACAAACTCCGTGGCTCAAAGAAATTCAAGGTACTGCCCTCCTCTCTACTTCCTCCCCGTTCTGTTTAACAGTAACCTTCAGTCTGGCCCCTGCTGACTCTTACCAAGTTGATGTCCTCAGGTGGGGCAACCTCGGGGGCCCCGTTGGTGGTAGGAGCACTATAATCCAGGTCTTCCTTGTTAACACAGCCACCCAGTGCCCACACCCGAGGCGCCTTTTTGCCCTTCTCCTTCGGGGCATCTGACTTCGTGGACTTGCTGAAAGGGTTATAGCACAGAGGGTTATGGTGGAGAAGCAGGAGAGGAAACATCTGCCCAAGATACAGAGACAAGAAAGCCCCTGCCCCCAACATGGCAAAGGTTAGAATGCTCACCTGGACTTGTCTACAGCCTTCCCATGTTTCTGAATGAACTCCTCTCGCTTCCTCCGTATCAGCTCCTCTTTGGAAAGTTCTACCCCGTTATCAGCCCCCATTGACTTTTCTGCAGGAACTGTTTTGCTGGCAGCCAAAGGGACGTCAAAACCTGTTACAAGAAGACTCATTGGAGAAAAAGGACCAGATCCCAACAAAATAGACAATGCGGAAAAATCTTCCAAATCCTTAAAGAGGAAACTAGGAGCAAACATCTTGGGGCTCAAAAGGGCTGGGGATGACAGCAAGGGTGGCGGCATCTGAGTGAGGGAGACAGGCAATGACAAACTGAAGGACAGCGAACCACTTCAGTGCTTAGTGCCACATTAACTTCTCATGCCCCATATGTTCAAGGAGCTCAAACTGACCTTCTTTCTTGTTTCCCTTGTTTTTTTTGTTCTTTGCTTTTTCCTTGGGCTTTTCACCCCGTGTCTCAATCATGGATCTCACAGGTTTCTTGGCCTTTTCAGAATCTTCAAATTTTTTCATGGTGGTTGGAGCCCGGACCTTACTGCTCTCCTCTGCTTCACTAAAGAGAAAGAAAATGGTTCAAGTCCAGAGAAAGGACCCTAACACCAAGAGGATAATTTAGAACAGGGCAGCAAATTTAGAAGCATCTTTCGATAAACACTTTATTACCCCTGAACAGGCCTCAGAAACGGAGGGGCTCATCAAGTCATGGAAACTGACTTTGGGGAGGGGAGGCCTCTCACCGAAGGAGCCGCAGAAAGTCATTTTGGAAATCAAAAGTGCCATTCAGTAGACTTAAAGCACTTTGCTGTTGGATCTCTGTGCGGTACTTGTCCCGAAAGAGCCGGTGCACGTCATCTATCAACTTGTCTACATATGTCAGTGTTAGGATCTTCTGAAAACCAACCTGTTTAGGGAAAGAAACAGAGCTGACAGATCTGCTTACATGCCATCCCAGAACAGACTGAGGCAACTCAACCCAGGCCTCCAGATTGGCTAAGCCATCTGGCAGGTGTCCCTGACCTGAGGGGTAGCCAAGCTCTCTGACTGGGCCCCAGAGTTTCTTCCTTTTACCCTCACCCTCGTTTTCTCAGTTACTTCATCATATAACACCTTCTGCAATTAATCAGTTTGATTCTCTTAATAATCAGGACTACTTTGAGAATGCACTTGTCCCTCTAAAATACCCCCACTTACCACAAACACCAGCTCAAACTGGTTGTCCAACTTATACTTGAGTGTGAGTGCTTCATGGGTGAAGGAGTTGTTGCCTCCCCTTTCCTGGAAAAAGAGTATGTCTCGGAGTTCAGACTATTCCCAGAAAACCCAGCCTTGGGCCCCTCAACGATTACCTTTGGGAAAGAACCAAACATTCCCCCAAAGTCAAACCTGTCTCAAGACAAGAGGATGCTGGGGCACTGCTCTGTAGCATTCCACCAGGGAGAAAAGGAGAGACCAAGGTGGGGGTTGAGGGCAGAGGTGAGACAGTGGCAAGACACACGGGAGCCAGAGGAGAAGTAGTCGTCATAGAAACAATCAGGTCTGCTAGCAGCTGTACACTACTTACAGTTCTAAAAGGCATTTAACCATCCATTATCTCACTCATTCTTCGAAACAGAAAACCAAGCTACCAGGGGCGAATGGAGGGAACGACGGTTAAGTCTGAATTAAGTGCCTAACCCTGCTAGAGTCCCAGAAAGCGAGGGGGAGGGGGCGCCGCAAAGTTGCTAGACTGCCTGACGGGGGCGGGAGAAAGAAGTGGAGTCCCGGCTACCGCCCAGCGGCCAACCTCGGGGCGAACAGGGTGGGAGCGAGGCGCGGGATCGGTCCAGGGGGGCTATGGATCGGATGGGGGGACGAGCCCGGAGTTCTGACCCCGCGGGGGCGGTACCTGCAGCAGCACGGAACGAATCAACGCGTTAACGGGTCCGGTGCAGGAGTCGCTCACGCCCTGGAAGCACCAGAGCACGAGCCCGCCCTTCGAGAAAATGGTGAAGAAGTCGAGCATGGCGGCAGCGGGAAAGGAGCCCGGCCGGCGCCGGGAACTGAGGCCGCGATCGCCCCGACTTCCTGCTGCGCCAAGCGCGGGACACGTCACACCAGCGGCCCCGGAAACCGGCTCAGCCGCACTTCCGCTCAGAGCCTAGGGTTCCCTACCGGCCTCCGCTTGAGGGCGCGCGGCACTGACGTAGCCAGAAATCTGGCCAATGGCAGGCCTGGGCGGGGCTCTTGGGCGGTCACAGGAAGACGGGCGGCCTATAGCCCGGAGAGGCGGGGCCCAGAGTGGCCGCTGGCCAATGGGTGCGCACGTCGGGATGGCCGGCGGCGCGGAGCAGTGACAGCTCGCGGGCGGTGCCAGGTTTAAGGGTCGCGCTCAGAGACCGCGCTCAGAAGGACCATGTTTAGAGGCGCGGTGCGGCTCTGTGCGGGCCGAGGCCGCTTGGGCCGGGGGCTAAGCACACGCAGTGGAGGCTCGACTCCGGGTAAAGTTGAGGGCGCTGGAGGGTATCATGGTTGTGGGGTACCCCCAGTCTCCGGCCATGTGACCTTCAGGACTCGGGACCCCGGCTGCCGCTGGGAAGACAGTGGGTCAGCTGGGAGAAGGGGGTAAGCTTGCCCGCTGGAGCTTGTAGAGCCGCGGCAGGTGTGTGGGTCCCCAGGTGTGACAACCCCTAGGCCGCTCTCGGCCTCGCCTCTCACCAGGATAACTGAGACCAGGCTGGTTCGTGGGCTGCACGAACGCGCGCCCCGTCCTGCCCGCGTGCAGCCGGCTGTGCCGAGTGTTGTGACCGTGAAGGAGGGAAGAAGAGAAGGCGAGGATTCCTATGTGTCCTGGAGGTGCCTGAAGTGAAGCTGGAGAGGGAAGATTTTCTAGATCAGTTCAAGACTGTGGATAGTCCCCAAACTGTCCATAAGGAATAAGGAGTCATGAAGGAAACAAAGGGGCTGGGGCTGGAGTGTGGGGAGGACAGGCGAGCAGGAGCCAGGTTGTGCATTGTCTCCCAGGCCATGTTTATGGGTTTTGGACTTTTATCCTTAGAGTAATGGAAAGCCATCGGAGGGCTTTTAAGCAAGAGGGTGTGTGATTAAATTGTGTTCAGAAAAGATCAGTCAAACTGCAATGCAGAAAAGGATTGTGGGGTTGGGGGGACAAGAGGGGAATTAGTGGGAACAGGAGGCTTTTGCATTAGTCTAGGTGAGAGATTATGGTGGTTTGGTCTAGGGCAGTGGTGGCAGAGATAAAAAAGATGACAGATTGGGGAAATATTTGAAAGGCATAGTCATCAGAACTTAAGTTTGAATGTAAATTTGCTGGAGGTGACGGATATCCAGGGTAAGGTGCCTCTCAGAGGTACCATGCTTCAGAGGTTGCTGCAGCTCACAGTGTTCTGGGACCTCTTGGTTCAGAAGCCAAGGATATCCAAGTGGAGATGATGATGCAGTGATGCAGTTGAGTATATGAGCCTGGGGCTCACAAGAGAGGTAGATGTGCACAGGAGATAAATATGTGTAAGTCACCTATCCTAGGGAGAGAGAATAGAGTGCTAATTTTAGGAAGTTGAATCTTGTACTGGGCATGATGCATGAAAAGGAAGATAGACTGATGGCAGTTTCCATATAGCAAAGCTGTGGAATACTGCTGAGTACATGTTGACCTTATGAGAGGAGAATGACAGTGGCGACTGCCAACTCAGTGTCAGTTTAGCCCACCTTTTCCTGTGCTCATCCTCTATCCCCTACCGTCTGAAAAGGAAATGTACAGACCTCTTTGACCATAACTGCATCCCACAGACTGGGCTGGAAAGGTGCCTGAAATTAAGAAGAAGATCCAGTCAGTTCTTCCTGGAGGATCCTGGAATCCACTGTATGACACCAGCCACCTGCCCCCTGAACATGCGGATGTGGTGATTGTGGGGGGTGGGGTGCTTGGCCTGTCCGTGGCCTATTGGCTGAAGAAGTTGGAGAAGCAACGAGGTGCCATTAAGGTGCTGGTGGTGGAACGGGACCACACGGTGAGGAATGGGGTAGGACAGAGTCATGAGTGGGGTTTAGACTTGGGTTTTACTAAGGACTCTAGGGACAAGGGAAGGGGAGAAAAGACCTCTCAATCTTTGGAGGTCCAAAGGGCAGGGACAGTGCTTTGGACCTTGTTGAGAAATAGTCCCAGGTTCTTCCTCCCTCCAACTAGGGACCTTGACGATAAGGTTTTGACTTTTGAAAGCAAATTCCAATGTTGGATCTTTTGAGATCTCACAGGTCTGGCCAGGAGAGCCTGCATTCAAGTTATAATTAATACAAACAGCCATCTCCACCCCCTTTTACATTCCATTACTTCTGAGGTTTTGCACTAGCTGTTCTGTTGCCACGGCCGGCCAGCCACAAATCCTGCTACTTTGGCCATAACCCTGTTTTCCAATTTGTGGATCAAATGTTAACCTCCTGCCCTTAGACTTCTGGGCCATTACTATTTTGTACGACTGTGACCAGCCCTTTCTTGATGACTGACTCTGCTCTGCACATCTGCTAATGAGAACTTTTATAACTATTGTCCTCTCTGGGCTGCTGGATGGCTTGCATCTGGGTTTATCCATGTCAGGTCCTGTTAGATTATAAACCTGCAAATAGATATACTTGCTTCTCTAAGATTGCAAACCTCCCCTTAAACTTTAGCACATGGCTCACAGCTTCTGTGACAGGATTCTGCTCCTGTGTGGCAGGGTACTGGTCTACCTCAACTTTCCTTGTCTTTCACAGTATTCCCGGGCCTCTACTGGGCTTTCCGTGGGCGGGATCCGCCAGCAGTTCTCGTTGCCTGAGAACATCCAGCTCTCCCTCTTTTCAGTTGACTTTCTACGGAACATCAATGTATGTGCAGTGAGATTTGGGGGTTGGGTGGTGACCCCTCCTTTAGCCCAGAGAGAGGAGCAGCCCAGCTGGCTAGGGGAAACGGAGCAGGAGCAGTTCAGGCAGGTGGGAATTGAAACCCCTGGTTTTCTTCTGAGTGGTGGTGCCTAGAGGAAGACTTCTCTCTGGGTTAGGGTCCTGAGCTCTGAGAGTTGTAGGTGTGGAAGCCAGGAATGCTCTCTATCCCTTCTGTGAATCAGCTTCTCTGAGGAGCTTTTTTGCACACAGGATTACCTGGCGGTAGTCGATGACCCTCCCCTGGACCTCCAGTTCAACCCTTCAGGTTACCTTTTACTGGCTTCAGAAAAGGGTGCTGCGATCATGGAGAACAATGTGAAAGTGCAGAGGTGGGTGCCTGGCACAGCCCTCGAGTCGCTTCCCAGCCATGTGCATGCAGTAAAGCCTTAAATCAAGTCAGGACTGGGGTGATGGAGCTGGTAAGTCAGGTCCCTACTCTCTGGGACCTCAGTCCATCAGGAAGGGCAGGGACATGCAGAACCTCAGTGCCCCAGGCTAAGGCTGTGATACAAATCTGGACAGAGTGCTGCTGCAGTGGGTCCTGCATTGCCTGATGATAAGAACCACCTAGCACACATCCCAGACCTAATAATCAGAATCTCTCAGGAGGGGCCCAGGAATCTGCAGGCATTTCCTGCAAGAGCCAAATAGTAAGTATTTTAGGCTTTCCCGGCCATCCAGTCTCTATTGCACTCACTCAACTCGCAATCGAAACACAAAATCAGCGATGAACAAAAAAAATAAATGCATGAGTATGGCTCATGTGTAAAACTAAAACTAGACTGCAGGCTGGATGTGGCAGCCCTGCCCTCATTGATAATCATGGTCAGTCAAGAGCAGGCATCTTCAACAAACATGTCTCCAAAGTCTCACTAGTGATATCAGGTAATGTCCTAAATGCCTCACAGGTAATAACTCATTTGATCATCAGAACATCTCCATTTTACATGTGGGAAAATCAAGGCACAAAGAGCTAATAAGTGGGCTGGGATTCAGACCAGGCAGTCTGGCTTACAAGTGTGCTCTCTCAGCACCTGTGTTGCCGCCCTTGGGCAACACATTCCCAGAGGATGTGATTGTACCAGGAGATGGGCAGGAAGGCTTCCCAGGCAGAGTGGAGGGAACGGAGCCGCTCACCCTGTTGTGAAAGGACATGGAATAGTGAGGGGCTGACGGAATTTAGTGCAGCCAATGGGAGACTAGGGTGTTGGAAAGGAAGAAGGGATCAGATGCTGAGGAGCCTGGGAGGCTTGTTCTCCACCCATTCAGCAAGTAGAGAAAATTGGGGAGTTTGGGGCAGAGAGGGACATAAATGAGGTAGAATCCCCACTTGTGGAGTTGAGTGTGTACTGCTTCTGCACACTCATCCTCTCTAACACACACACACACACACACACACACACACAGATCCACATGTTTCTCTCAGGCAGGAAGGAGCCAAAGTGTGTCTGATGTCTCCCGAGCAGCTGCAGAACAAGTTTCCCTGGATAAACACAGACGGAGTCGCCTTGGCCTCTTACGGTGAGGGGTGAGGCTTGCTTGCAGAGGGGATCAGGGGTTGCGGGCATCTCAGGTGGGAAGTCTCAGCACCCTGCAGCCAAGTCAAGGAGAAACACTTCCCTCCTGACCAGCAGGGCCTCCCCTGGCCATGCCATCTCTCTGTTCTTCTGCAGGATTTGATACTGGTGCAGTTGGTCCACTTGACTTTCCCCAGCTTACGAGCCCAAAGTAGAGTTGGGGGCGCGGGAAATACTCTAGGAGAGAAGGGCTCTAGTCTCTCCTCATGAGTCCTCATTTTTTCCTTACAGGGTTGGAGGGTGAAGGTTGGTTTGACCCCTGGTGTCTGCTCCAGGGGCTTCGGCGAAAGGTCGAGTCCATGGGGGTCCTCTTCTGCCATGGAGAGGTGACACGTGAGTCTGAGCCCCATGCCCACTGCTTATATCCTTTGCCATCCAGGGCATAGGCCTAGGCCATGTCTTATTTTCACTCACAGGCCAAGCAAGGGTTGGTGGGGGGAGGCCTTCTCCCGTAGGGCTGGTCCTGGGCATCCTGACTCCAGCTCCTGACTAGGCTTCTTCCTGACCTGTGACCTGCCTGAGGTTTCAGTGCTCTCCTGTCCCAAGTGTGGCCACGTTCATCCCAGTTACTCTGCTTCAGTGTCTGGGAAAGCTCCCAGCCTTCCAGCTTTCTTTCCTTGCGAAGCCAACGGCATCCCCATCTCCTTCCTCTTCAAGGCCTCAAGTGCTTATTTAATTCTCTTTTTCCTGCAGGTTTTGTCTCTTCATCTAGCCATGTGGAGACCATGAGTGGGGAAGAGGTGACTTTGAAAAGGATCCATGAAGTTCATGTAAGTTCCCAGCCTAAGTGTCTTCCTTATAAAATGGAGGGAGGGATGAGAAGGGTAACAACCATCATTTAAAATATATGTATTTTTACTGATTTCAGAGAGAGAGGAAGGGAGAGAGAGAGGTAGAAACATCAATGATGAGAGAGAGTCATTGATCGGCTGCCTCCTGCACGCCCCCTACTGGGGATCGAGCCTGCAACCCAGGCAGGTGCCCTGACTAGGAATCGAACCTCAGTCTCCTGGATCACAGGTTGGTGCTCAACCACTGAGCCATGCCAGCTGAGCAACAACTTTCATTTTGATATTCTACCCACTTCCAGTGTGGGTAAACTAAGGCTCAAGAAGAAATGTACCTATCATGGTGGCCAGCGTATGGGCCAGGCCCTCCCTCCACTCTCTCTCTGGTGCCTGCAGGTGAAGATGGACCATAGCTTGGAGTACCAGCCTGTGGAATGTGCCATCGTGATCAATGCAGCAGGGGCCTGGTCTGGGCAAATTGCAGAGCTGGCTGGTATTGGGAAGGGGCCGCCTGGTACCCTTCAGGGCACCAAGCTCCCTGTGGAACCAAGGAAAAGGTGACTTCCCCAGGGCAGCTGAGGAGGTTGGTGAGAGGAGAAAAGAAACACTATAAAAGGCTAAGTGGGAGGAGGGAAGAGTTGCTATTCCTGCCACTTCCTAACCCCCTGGTTATGGCAGGTATGTGTACTTATGGCACTGCCCCCAGGGACCAGGCCTGGAGACGCCATTCGTTTCAGACATCAGTGGAGCCTATTTCCGCCGGGAAGGATTAGGCAGCAACTACTTGGGTGGCTGTAGCCCCACTGAGGTAAGCTAAGTGGGATCGGGGGTGCTGGCAAGGAGACAGACCAATTGTCATTGAAGAGTTGGGTTTTTAGGGAGGGCCCAGTGCTGTTATTGATGTTGCAGCCCCCTCCAGGTTTCAACTGGGACCTCTCATTCCCATCCCCCATCTACATAGGGGGTTGATTAAAGGGGTCAGTGAGGTCTGGCTTTGTCCTTGTGTCCCAGGTAATATAACCCTTGTTCCCATCTCTTACTCCAGGAGGAGGAACCAGACCCAGGGAACCTCGATGTGGACCATGATTTCTTCCAGGACAAGGTGTGGCCCCCTTTGGCCCAGAGGGTGCCAGCTTTTCAGAGTCTGAAGGTAACTAGGAGACAGATGATACTGGAGCATCTCAGTCCCCTTGGAAAGCCTGTCCTCAGCCTTTTCCCATCTACCTCACAACTGCTAAGGACTCTGTTGGTCTAAGGACCCATCTCATCGACCTCCTCAGCAGTGGTAGAGGGTGCTGATGCCTGACCAGGAGTGAGGGTAGGGTGTAGCGAAGCCTTCCTGAGAACCCAGCGTCTTGTGCACCTGCAGGTTCGGAGCGCCTGGGCTGGCTATTACGACTACAACACCTTTGACCAGAATGGTGTGGTGGGCCCCCATCCACTGGTTGTCAACATGTACTTTGCCACGGGCTTCAGTGGCCACGGGCTTCAGCAGGCCCCTGCCGTGGGGCGAGCTGTGGCCGAGATGATGCTTGAGGGGCAATTCCAGACCATCAACCTGAGCCCCTTCCTCTTCAGCCGCTTTTACTTGGGAGAGAAGGTCCAAGAGCACAATATCATCTGAGCCTGTAAGCTCTTCACTGGCCCCGTTTCCCCATCTGTCACCCCTGGCACAAATCCTGGCCAGCACCATGCCCAGGTCTCCACCTTCCTCCCCTCATCCAGGTGGTTCTGTCTCCATGTGGCTGGGCAGGTGTGCAGACTACAGGCTTTGAGGTTCTATGCCTGAGGCCCAGGCTGACAGAGAATGAGGGACTGGGACCCTAGGACTGATCCCTGGCCTGGGCTGATGCTACCCACCAAGCTGTCCAGCTGGACAGAACTCCTCAGTGGTCCTGAGCACCATGGCCCAGGATGGCTCCTTCCTCGTACCAACCCAGAAAGATTGCTGCTGCCCCTCTTCCCATATCCCTGCAGAGTCCAGGCAGGGAGCATTCTGGTGCAGCCTGGTGCAAATTTATTATCAATCAATAAATGCGACTGACTCCTTCCTGCCAGTTTTCTGCCCCTCTTTTCACCCTATGGCAGCTGCTTTTGAAGCTCCCATTAGCCTTTGACACCAGGCTGGGAGGAGCATAGGCTCCTCCTCTTCCTCTTCCCAGGGGCCCTCTTAAATTCCGCTGGCAAGCTAGGCCTCCTTTGCCTGACTTCCGCAGGGGTATGGATGTAGAGGGAAGGAATGTGTTCATTCCTCTTCAAAATTTGTTCAGTTCCAACTGTTGGCCAGGTACAGGGCTACATATTCGAGATACACCAGCAGGCAAACCTAAGGATGAACAGCTTAAGAAAGTGAGCGCAGGGGCAAGTGGGGAGGAGAGTGGGAAGGGGGGCAATTCTAGGCTGGCGGAAATCCATATATGAAGTCCTGGGACCAAGAAGTAGCAAGATTCCAGGGACTAGCTAGATCGTGGAGCGAAGGAAGAGGTGCATCCGGGCCAGGGCCTGAAGAGCCATGCTGTGGAGCTTGGATTGCATTCTGTAGGCAGGGGACACTGAAGGGTTTTCAATATGGAAGCCGCATGATCAGATTTTCCCTTCTGAAAAATCACCCTGCCTGCCTTGAGGACAGATTCTGATGTCACAGCGGGAGGCCAGATGGAAGGCTGCCGCTGTGGTGAGAAGCGTACCCATCCAAGAGGGTACAGTAGCAACAAGAAATTAAGTCTGCATGGGACAACTGAATCGATGGATGCCGTGCCTTTCACAGAGATGAGGAAGACCAGGGAGGAGTTGCGAGGGACAAAACGGTACGGTTTGGGACATGTTGAGCCAAGAGTGCCTGTAGGATGCCTGCAGAGATGTCTAACGGTTGAATTTGTTGTGGCCTCAGAATGGTCTGCACTGAGGCAGAGATGTGGACAATGGGTGAGGATGGTATCACCGCAGGAGGGCAGAAGGGTAGGGGGCCAAGGGGTGAAGCTGGAGGGACTCCATCTCCTTTAAGGGATGAACCAAAGAAGAGGCCACTCAAGAGGTGGCCAGAAAAGCCAGGCAGAGGGTTTGGCCCGAGGAGGGACGGTCAAGAGTATAAATGCAGGTGGGGGCTGGATGCAGCCAAAGTAGGTCGGGAGAGCGGAGGAAGGAAGTTCCAGGAGGAAGTGCACCTCTGGGGTCTGAGGTGTGGGCCGCTGTTTAGAAGGGAGAAGTGAACGGGAGCAGAGACAGCCAGTGAAATGCCCCCACCCCCAAAGTGGCCGTTGGGGAAAAGCAGCAAAAGATGGAGGTGGGTCTCACTCATCACCTGGGGAGGGAGGGAGGAGAGGGCAGAAGTACGGCCAGTGAGGTGGCGTGAGAAGCCCCTGGCAGGTGGCGGCGAAAAGCCAGCAAGGAGGAAGAGCCACCCGAATTTGGTGCAGAAAGACAGCAAGGAACTTGTCGGGGACAAGAAGGAACTTGTGGGGGCTTGGGGGACAAGAAGGAACTTGTGGGGGTTGGGGGACAAGAAGGAACTTGTGGGGGCTTGGGGGAAAAGACGGAACCTGCCAGGGGCATGGGGACAAGAAGGAAACTGCCAGCGGCATAGGGGTAGGGGCCCTCAGGTCAAACCTGACACCCCTGTTAACCCTGTGAGGTGGCCTCCTTAGGTGCCCCACAGGCACCCCCATGTATGGGGTCGGGGGGAAACCTCCATGTGGCTCTGTTATCTTCCGTCGAGGCAGCACGGGAGAATGTTGCCCACGGGGCCTGTTGAGGCGGCCGGGAGCACCGCGCCCATCGCCGCATTTCCTCCCCGGCGCAGCGCCGGGCGGGCCAAGCCTTCCTCCCCTGGGCTCGGCCCCGCTCCCCCGGGGGCCTCTTGGCTGCGCCTGGAGCCCGAAGATGGGCCCCGGGCCTCGGGGAATCTTCAGTCCAGGGCGAGGGGGGCACAGCTTCGAACCTCACCCGGTGCTGCGGGCACTTGGGGAGGAGGCGGGAGGAGGTTTGAGCGGGTTTTCCGCGCGCGCACGGAGGAGCCTCCGGCCGGCAGCGGGGCGTCGCGGGCGGGG